GGAGCCGCGGGCCGGCCCGACCGCCTCCCGACCGCCTTCCGCAGGCTTGACCGAGGCCTTGCAGGTCCAGTTCTAGTTCCTCACTGCGTGCCCCGGGCCCCGGCCCGGCTTGCCTCGCTGCTGATACGCTGACAGGTTCAAAATGAAAATCTGATCTTGTCACCACCCTCCCGCCTAACCCCCCCCAGCGGCTTCTCCATTGCAGGGAAAATCCCTAAGGCGGCATCCCCGGGGCTCCGAGCACCCTGCCCTGTCTCCGGGCTTCGGCCTCTGGACCTAGCCGCTCCCTCCTAACACGAGGTTTTTGCACACACTGTTCCCTTTGCCTAACATTCGCTTCCCCTTCTCCTATTTTAGATCTCCTTTCAGGCCGACCTTCTCTGGCCCGGTGTTATATTATCCCTGGGCACTTGGTTCCTTTTCTTCATAGCACCTATCACAGTTTGAAATTATGTGTTCATTTTGTGCTTATTTATCACAGTCACCTATGAAAGCTACGTTTCTAAGAGAAGAAAGAAAATCTGCTCTGGGACGGGGGTGGGGCTACTGCCAGGCCGGGGTGGCTTCCCACAGGGCAGAGACCACCTCATGGTGCCAGCGCAGGGGGGCTCTTTTCAGTTTCTACTTACTGAAGCCTGACCCCCTCACTCCCTTCCTCCTTGGGGGCCCAGGTTGCAATCGCAGAGAACAGAGGAATTGCTGGCTTTAATGATAAAACCAAAAAGCACAGGCTGGTGTTAAGTAAATTAAGGCTTCTTAAAATAAGTTCCCCAGAAAGAAGTCCAGGACAAATTTAGCCTTCAGAGCACAAGAGCTTCCTGGGGGTCCCTTCCACACCCCATTTTACTGAGCAAGCTGTGCAATTGGCTACACCTCCCTCATGTACCACCCACCCCATTTCAGCGAATATGGATTCATTGTCGAACCAAAATATATTTAAAATACCTTGTCTTTCCCTCATCCCTTTCTTTTGATTTTTTTTTTTTTTTAATAAAAAACAATCCAAGTCTATACGATCTCTGTGCTGGGGCATCCTGTTCTAGTTTCAACTTGATTCCCACTCACCATTCTGCAACCTGGGGACTAAATGCAAATTAAACCACCCCAACAATCTTATATACAAAAATAAGGGAAATGGAAGAGGGGGGGAAAAATCCATTTTATGATTATGACAACTCTTGTTTTAAGAGGGAAAAGGAAATAAAAGAGAGAAGACAAAAGCAGTTCAAACTCTGGACACTCCCCCAGCTTAGAATATACAGGCGGAGACCTCAGCCCGGTTTCTACATCAGGTCCCGAGGCCAAAGCAGTCCTCCCTTCTCCTTTATCCACTGCAAGCTCCCCTTGCCTTCAGCTACAGAGTTTCCTTCCTGGTGAGGTGACCCAGGTCCTCACTCCTAAAGGCGCTGCGCTTCAGGGGTCTGGAGTTGTACAGATCTTCCCCCGCCATATAGCCAAACTGTCATCGGATTGTTTGGCGGGCCCGGAACAGCTCCTTCCCACCTTTCCTTCAGCTCTGTCTCTCCCAGCTCTAACCACGTGGGTTCAACGGGGGCCTGATGAGTCCCAGGACAGGACTGCCCACTCCAGGTGAGTCAGTCAGAGTCCTTCTCTGAGACTTTCTGAAATACGATTAAAGGAAGACAAAGCAGGGAAGATGTGAGCCTAGGGCTGCAGCAAACACATTCCCTGGCAAGTAGAAGTCAGTCTGTAGTAGGAGAAAATGATGCTGGCACGCAGAAGCAGACAAAAGACAGAGTCCTGGTGATGTTCCAGTCCCTGTTTCCCGAGGCCTTTGTATGCCTTCCAATATAGCCCTTATTTTACCAAGCCTAACTTGAGGGGAATTTCTTTCACTGACAATCAAAAGAACCATGATTAATAGAGCACCCCGGGGTCCCATTCACGCATCTCTCAGTCCT